TAATTTCCATGCTACCGGAATTAATAAGCAGGTTATCACTGTTATCCATAAAATATGATTTGTGTGAGTGATTTTTGAATACAGTTTACCTATAAAGGGTGGTTTTTACAATGTTCGGTATTTACTTTGAATTTTCAATTATATTTTTCAATCGGTTAATCTACTAATTACCTATTGTTACAAGTGGATGCATATTCCCTACGCTCTAAGTTAGTCATTAAGTACCTAGTCGATCTTAGAATGAACAGTAGGCCTACCATGAAGTCACACATCATGGTGGGCTCTCTGGGTCCACGTCCGTCCGTTCACCATAGATATTTCAAATTATGATCAATCAAAATAAGAGCAAAGTAAGATCCAATCCATAAATCGTTCACAACTTTCCGAACAAACACCTAGCCGAAAATAAACTGAAGTCGAACTGTGTTGTAAGGAGAAAAATCAAAAACTAATTACATAGGTAGTCTATGTTCGAAGGCCTCACAGGAAACCGTCATAAAACAACCACAGCGTTGTGTTTCGCCGTGTGAGTGAGGTTACCGGAGGCCTAATACTTCCCTTCACCCGTAACTCCTTTGGTGTTGCGGGTGTCCATGACCAGCACCGATTGCTTACCATCGGATAATCCGGCTGCTCGTTAGCGTCCCATCACATAATATTTTGTCTTATATTATAATGTTTAAAAATTATAAATTAATTCTTGGTGCGATCCACACGGGACACTTATAAATTCATGTCCTTCATTCAGTGTTTCAGCGGCGTTTTCATGGCTTATAGGAATAGCAGCGGTTTCAGGAAGATGTGGCGGCCTTGTCTTTATTTTTTGAGAGTAAGGGATTTAAGACTGGAGGAAGGGGGGTGCATTGGGCCTCCGGTAACCGCACTCACAAATTGAAACTCGACAAAAGTGTTGATTCACGACGTTATCCGTGAGGGTGTGGTGTCTCTTCGATCGAGTCGACCCATTCGTGCCGAAGCATAGCTATCACACACTTCACAGTTTTGTCGGTTTGTTCGTATCCGCCAACCCAAAGTACAAAGTTCCCAAACTTTTTTTTTACAAAATGTAAGCTTCTAATACAAAAAAGTAGTTAGCTGTTGACAGCTCTATTTCAACCGAATTGCTTAACAAATAAAGCAATTTTGTTAGCATAGTTTGCATACCCAATTGTGCTATTATAATTATATTTTTTTGCTTTTGTCCACCCCATTGGGCTTCGGGAAGAAGCCTTTAAAGACGTCAATATAAAAAAAAATCATGCAACAAAATGCGTATAATAGTTACACAGATGGCTGGACAGAATTTAACATGTGTTGGTTATAAAAAGTTTAACTTACCGGAAGAAAGTGTCGTTGGCCGAGCTAAAATGGCTAAGCTCGTGTAAACGAGCTCCACTGGTCAAGCTGTGTCTAAAAATAATAAAATAATAGGCACAAAGATAGGGTGTTTTTATGTTGTAGGTCGGCAAACGAGCAGATGGATTACCTGAAGGTAAGCAATCAACGCCGCCCACCGGAACGGACCACGTAATTACGGACGCGTTACGAGTACGTTTCTGACCTTTTCGGGATTAGGGTATTGGAGATTTAGGGATTGGGGAGGTATTAAGAAAAGGGTAAGGATGAGGCCTACAGTAACTATACTCCCAAGGCTAAAGACAGCGCTATGGTGGTTTTCTGTGAGGCCGTAGTATCACTCTGGTCGAGTCGGCCCATTCGAGCTAAAGCATATGGCTCTCCCACGCTTAGTTAGGGTGTGAAAATAAACTGTAATTAGTCCTAATTAGTCCGTAAATACAATAACTAAAAAATATCCGAACGTATTTTTCGTGCTAGGAAACAATTATACTTAGATAAAACGCAATTACGTTAAACAGTGTGTGATAGCTTCGTCACTTCTCAGGACAAAATATCTGTGTCGTGACGTCACACGATATTTCTTGAAGGAATGTCAGAAAAGAAAACAATACGTTTCTAACTTATCGAAGACCGGGGTACTAGTACTACTACATTAGGGAAAAAAATAATATTTATTTCAATTCCACCAGCTATTCTGGAAAACTTTACTACAGGAAGGCCTACGTTCGGGTGAGGATATTTCTACTTAAAAAAATCTTTGTCATTCATCAAGCTAAAAATATTTTTAGAAAACTTGGTAATCTCTTTTCACTCATATTGCAAAACAGTAAGGTTCAGATCAGCATGTTTAACTGTCGCCTAGTGTCTACATCAACAGTACCTACAATGTAAATAATAATTCATCATACTAACTTTTAATCCATGGTTTTTATGCCAGAATACAGCGTTAAAATATGTCTAGATTAGGCAAGGAGCTTAAGTACTAGAGATAATTAAATTATGTCTCTTTATGCTTTGTCCATATTTCTTTTCAAATTTTATTTTATTATGACTTTCTTTATTCTTTATACATTCTGTTTTATATGTTACAGTATATAGATTACACGCTTGGCACAGTGGCTGGGCAACTAGCTGCTATGCAAAGAGTCACGGGTTTGATTCTCGGATGGAACAACACTGTGTGATCCACTGATTGTCGTTTCGGTTCTGGGTGGCTTGTGTATGTGAATAAGTATGTTTGTAACCGCACGGCACCTACAACTCTGAAAAAATACTAGTGTATAGCAACGTTTAAGAAAATAAGAAACTGTTTCTAAGTGTTTCAAGTGTGGAAGAGCCATGGGTTCGACCGGAGTGAAACTACGGCCTCACAGAAAACGGTCGTGAAACAACCACAGCGTTGGTTTTCGCCGTGTGAGTGAGGTTACCGGAGGACCAATCTTTTCCCTCCCCCAATCCCTAATCTCCAAAAGGTCGGCAAGGGACTCGACGCCCTATAACATAAAACAGTTATATGGGAAGAGAAAAATATACATAGGTATATAATAGGTAGGTGGTAGGATTATATAATAGGTATATAGCTGCCTTGAATCGAATTAAAAGGACAATGATATTACTTACATTACATTAATAGCATCACAGTATTACGTGCACAAATGTCATGGCAGACTTCTAATCAACTCATGTTACAACAAAGTTGAATTTAACAGAGAACCCCTTTTGAATACTATGATATTTAAAATGTCACGCTTGGTATAGATATTATTAACTAGAGGGTTTTTTTTTATTTTTATAAATAAACGTTGCACCACATTAGGATTTTCTCCTGTGTCGTGGGTGCGGTTACAAACATATAATTTCACATACACACGACACCCAGACCCGGAACAACAATTTGTGGATCACACAAACAGTTGTACCGTGCGGGAATCGAACCCGCGACACGTTGCACGGCAGCCAGTTGCCCAGCCATCGCACCAAACGTGCAGTCAAAAGGAGAGAGGGTGCAAAACAAATACAAATTTTGCCTCTATTTTATGATTGTTTTTATACATATAAACCTTCCTCCTCAATAACTCTATCTATTAAAAATACCGCATCAAAGTGTGTTGCGTAGTTTAAAAGATTTAAGCAGGCATTAGGATATCGGGACAGAGACAGATTTGACTTTATACTAAGAGGTAGTAATATGTATGTCTAAACATAACCATTAAACAATCGGCGGTTATAAAACAGACTCTATTTGCTTAAATATAAAAGAGAGATTATTAAAAAAGCTATTACAACTGCGTTGTGGCGTTTGTTGTTGTACCCAGTCTAAGTGACATCTGATACTCAGTGTGAATTTCTCAGTGATAATACTAATTGTCTGGAATAACGATTGGCACCGCGCTTTTATCAGTATTCTTCGCTTAAACATTTTAAAAGTAAAACAATCGTAAAAGTTTGATCAGGGGGCCACATTACGATTTTTTATGTGAATACTTCAGTAAGCTGGCCCGTGATTCTACTGACGCTAGCCGTCGCCCGACTGTCATGCTACAAACTTAGGTCTAAGAAATTACGATTCAAATTCACGAAATAACGACTTTGTTTTATACTGTGTAGTTAAAACAAACAGTGCAGTTTAATAATATTAGGATTTGTAGTAGAAAAAACCACTTTTCAAAGTGAAGCTTCCAGTTCTGCTACTGGAAAATAAATCATAATTAGAATGACTCACGACTTGCATAGCGTAACTCCCGAAGTAAATATTCGTGTGAGGCTAGAGACAAATGTTAGCCACTCCGCGCACCTGAACCACACTAAACAAAACAACGTACCTAAGTACTTACACATTGATATTTGAACTGTGCCATGCACAATATTGAACAAACTGCAGCGCACATATCGTGCATATGTCACCATATCAACCACGCCAACCGCAGGTGCCACACCAAATAAAAAATTAACCAATTTATTTTATTATAGCCACTAAAATAACTTCACTACAGCAATCATGGCTTCCGTAAAAACGTAAACAATGACTAATAAAAATTGCATTCAAATTATATTGTATCTTCATTCATTCGTAATGGGTCCGTCGCATTCCATTTTGCTGTGTAATTCTGTCTTTATCTGTCCATTTTTTTCGACTTTACTTTGTTTTTCCAATCGCCTTCCGTAACAATACCTTCAATAGGGTGACAGCGTTTCTATGCGCGTACGCTCTACAAAACTACAACCATTATCATTAGCAGTGTGCCTAACAAAAGGATCTTTAGAAAATAGTCTTTATGTTCAAGCGTTTAAGGGCTACCGATCGGCAAACGTTAAGTTGGTTCTAAGTTACGTTTCGGTGCGGTGCACATGGAGTCGGCAGTCGCGCGCCCACCGACTGTGGTTCCGGTGGGGTCGATCACCACCGCGTAGTGTATGCGTGCCTTTACACACTACATTCCGAACTTTACTCGCGTGCACAGTGAACGCTTCGCGCCAAATTTCGTAAACGTACGATATTTGAATTTTGACGTTTTGTGTTTTCGGACGGGACTTTATGATTTTTTTAGGACAATTAAGTTTTTAATTGACGGTTTTTCTAAAGTTTTGTGATTTGCGTTGTGAAGTGACTTATTGTTTAAAAGACAAATTAAATATGTGAAAACATTTTGGGAGTTAAAAGAAAAGGAAAAATACGCAAATAGTGTTGTTAATAAGTTTTTATTTGTGAAATGGTTTGTGAACAATAAAATATAATAATCAAGATGAAGTTGCGGTGGAACTTTGTTGTACAATTGTTTATTTTATTTGTTTTCGCGACTTGCGTCGGTAAGTGATAATTTTGGAAGTTTATGCATGTTTAATAACATAATATTATAATCAATCTGCTTTTGTTATTTTGTGAATATACTTTTGTTGCGTTGCGTAAGGTGTTTCAATGAAGTTTAATGTAATATTTGATCTGTCGATACCGTGACAATTTCACTCTGGGGAAATTGTTCATTGTTGTCCAAAATCCTTATCTATTTACGACTACGCTGGATTTTCCATCCGTTTTAAATTTCATATTTTCCTTAGAAAATTGGTTATTTCCAGTAAACTAATAATGAGATTGGACATCACGTGTAACATTGATAAATACATTTGTAATTTAGGTTTGTGATTTATGTTTATTCAAATAGCTGTAACAACGAACGAATTTAAATATTTCCAGAGCATTAATTTACCAGAAACAATCATAGCTCACGGTGCCTGACCATGCAGGCCGAATATTTTACTATTCATTGTCTCTGGCTAATTTAAAACGATTAAAATCAACGGTACACACGGCATGGCGGCATGAAAGGGAAATATGATAGGATTATGGTGATGTATGAATAATGGCTGCAATTTTGTGCATTGCAACACGTAAAGATGCTTGTCTTATTTTGTAATATTTGATTTAGATTGTATTTTAATTTGGTGAATGTTAGTTCGGAGTTCTTGATTGTGTTGCGTAGTTTTGTATTGATCATCCTCAGTAGGTAATGTAAGTTGATAGCACACTCGTACGCATTTATTCGCGAAGCGATATTTACTATTGCTCATGTTACTTTTTATTAATTGTTTTGCGCATTAGGTAGTAGGAAGTAACTACTTATCTAGATACATTTATATGTTTGTTTCAATTTGTTTTGTGACAAAAAATCAAGAAATTATAATATACAAAACAGAAAATATATTAACAATCGTAACTTCGTAATTTTATAATTACAATATCCCGTTTCTCTACGTTAAACCCTTAAGGCATTTATAAACTCGGTTTTTAAATTTGAAATAATTTACATTCGATCTAGGAACTACGCATGTATACCCAAAATACGGTAGTTTCCACCTTGTCAAATTCAATACTTTTATCCGAATGTCAAAACGATATTTTTCTATGAAATTTGTATGAAACTCCAAAGTATGACGTCATAGCATTTTTTGCGTCAAATATCTTTCTTATTTCTTAAAAATTACCTTAAAATACTTATCAAAAACTTTAGTGTATCGACAGATCGATGATTAAAAAAATAAGTACCTAGTTATTTTCAATATTTTATTGTATTTAAACGTCGAATTAATATTTTTTACCTAGAAAGCTACCCAATTACATCCACATCTGTAAATATATATTATGTAATATATAAATGTACGTATAGTTACTTTTGCGGAAAAGAGTACCGACACAACAACGGCAATAACTAACAAGCATTTCCGCGTTAATTATAGTTTACATACCATCTTCAATTTCATCAACGAACTATAAATATTAAAAAGATACACAAATTATCCTGGCCACAGAATTAGACGTGTGAAATTGGTTACTTCCTACAATACGGTAATGTAACATATCATTCACGTAACGCGGCCCATATGTCCCTGAAATAAATTCTTTCGGAGCTCGGGAAAGAAGTGATAGGACGGCCTTAGGAATGGCCATAAGTTTCCATCAAGTATAGACATTAAACCCTCTACTTAGTCTATGAACTTTCAATAAATCGCCACTGTTCCTTTTTCAAATATATTTTTGAAATCCGACCGTTATTCTTTCTTGAAGTTTGAGTTTGGGTCAAGTGTCATTATTTTACCCTATCACCGTAGACATTTAAACAACTATGGAACGAATCGACGATATTTCGAATTTCGAAATTATATAGATAAATTATTTTGTTGTGGCTTAATAAGTATTATTTCTATAGGTAGTTTATTCTATGGTGATTTTTACTTGACCAATAATTGTACAAGGAAATATCTCAGTAATAAATAAAATAAAAACATTACTTATTTTAAGAAAGTATGAAAATAAGGAATTCCAAATAACAAGACTTTACTTATACTATTTGAAAATTGACGAAGATCGGTCAAAAAATCAAACCCCAGTGACAAAACAATAACAGATTTTTTTTTTATTTGCACCCCAATCTTAATGTTACGTGGCTAGAGACCCAAAAATGACCTTCTGACCGACTTTCGGGGCCCTTTGTAAGACTTTCCGGCTTCCAACCAAAGCTGATGACTGTCGCAAATGTTCCGGTACTGTCTTAGAACGCGGCGTGAACCGCGCAAGCAAGACGAGGTCACCCATCCATGTTTGGAACTTAGTCATAGTTTCAAACGCGTGTCGCACCGCACTTACCTCGACAATTATAGACTGGAAGAAGATGACTTGGTTAGTGAAGAAGCTTTTTGATTTTGAATAAGAAGAATTTAGTGTGAAAGAGCCATGCTTCAGTACGAATGGTTCAACTCGACCGGAGTGATACCACGGCCTTACAGAAAACTGGTGTGAAACAACACAGCGTTGTGTTGCCGAAGCTCCCGGAGGCCCAATCCTTCCTCTCTCCCTAAACCCTAAATCTTCTAAACCCTAATCCCCAAAGGGTCAGCAACACACTAGTAACTCCTCCGTTGTTGCGATTATCTATGTCGTACCTTTGGATGACGACCTTAGGACGGCAAACGTCTTATATTTTCAGTTTTGGGCACGGTACCTTTAATAACACAATAAAACTTCTGCTTCGTATCAAACTACACACATAAGAAGCCATGTATTTATCATAACATACTTTTTAGATTCGCTCTAAATTTCGTTCTAACTAAACAGTATGTAAAGAGACCACCCAACAATTTTAACTTGACAACAATTCCATAAATGTTCTTTAATTACAAAGACTATGTAGAAACATATATTTAACACATTGAAGTAAATATATCCGCAGAGGTAAGGCGCTTGTAAACCAACAGATAGTACCCTAATGGGCTAGCAGACACGGCATTGTGTAATTAACGTATCAACGTCCAACCTCCTTAGTTAAAACGCGGCTATATTTTAGCCGCGCCGCTAAATACGTCGCGATTTAACTAATCACTTACCCAAGTAAGTTTACAGTTTATCATCGTAACCTCGGGAATTTTATCTAAGTAATTTTAGGATGATAATTATGAAAATACATTTGAAAGTCTATTTAGTCCGTAAATTGAATATGAAAAAAAAATGCACGTATTTTTTTCGTTTAGGTATACGTCGTTAAAACTAATTAAAGTTTAGGGGTTGGATGTCTATGTATTAAAATAAAATAAACTAAATCTTGACGTCACATGATCTTTCAAACCAATATATCTGTCGACAGTATTTTATTCCGTAAGAGGCATACCCAGATAATAATTTTCTAAGACATGCTACGCTTTTTTGGTGTAGAAAAGAGAAGTCCAGCAATCCAATATTGCAATATTGGTATGATTAAGTTTAAAAATTTTCTAAAATGGTCATTGACCTATTTATGGTATTCACAAAACAAATCTCATTAGATTGCAACCTCTTCTCCAAATCGCCAAAATCCTATATTTGCATTAGGAAGTATTTCGAACCGGTCATTATGCATGCGTCTGACCTGCCCCGCCCCACTGCCCAATCCCTTTTGAGCTTCTCAGCCTTTTTGCGTACATCTATTATTCCCGTATTAGAGAACAATAAGACATGGGTTACAAACAGATGTCACTAGATATTTATTAGAAAAAGAACATTTATTTTATTTCCGCACCGACCTTCAATGTGGTCTTGTTACGGTTATTGGTTTAATTCGTCAACTTGACGTTCGGTAACCAATTGGAGATGGCTGTGCTATGTATGTATGTGCAATAATTTTCATTATTCTAACATGGGAGAGGTCGGGTAGTTAGCTATCGGAATATTTGGCGCCGTTTTTCTGAAGGATGTTAGTAATTTGAGGCTCAGGGATTTGTAAACGATCAGGGGGATGGATTAGGCCGCTGATAACCTCACTCACACGGCGAAACACAACGTAAGCGTTGCTTCACACCATTTTTCTTTGAGGTCGTGGTATCACTCCGGTTGACCTGGCCCATTCATGCCAAAGCATGGCACACCTACACTTTGTCCATTTAAAGTCACTAGTTTATTTCAAAGCCAACTTTTTTTGGAATGCTCTACCTAACCTAGGCAAAGATATCCAGATCCATGTATTATGTATACGTATGCTGTCTCAATTTGCAAATACGAGGTCCAATCCCGGATTTGAATTTACCACTTCCTTAAGCAGTTGCTCTCACGAGGTTGTCACATTTCTCAGAGAGAGTGTGAGAGGGTAGCTCCCTTAACCTACTAAGATCGTTACTTTATTATACTTTTAAGTTAATTTGTTTGAATCGCTCCTTCTTTTCGAACTTTTTAAGAAAATAATCGTGAAGGAGATATAGATTTCGTCCCGTAGAAAGTTTAACGGCGATAATTTTCAGTGGCCCGGTCCGAGGGACGTCCGCACAAATAATATATTGCCAGACAGTTAGAATGTAATGGATGTCGAAAACTTATCGATCTTTTACAATATATCTATTACAGGTAATAAAAATACTTGTTGAATAATTAAGATCTAGAACTAAAAGAGATTCTTTATAGTATAAAAAGTCAAATACATACATATATTAGTCTTTGAAAGGAACAATCCCAATGCCAAAATCTCCGAAATTTTAATGCTTAGAAGGCCGAGAACGAACTCGTAATTCTTCTGATGTTGCGGTTGTCCATGGGCGGCACTGACTGCTTGACATCAGGTAATCAGCTAGCTATTGCATAAAAAAGACTTAAAGTATAGCGTACAACATCTGTTTTGAGCCTTCTAAAAAGAGTTTAGGACTAGAGCAAACTCAATCAACTTCCTGGAATGATTGCCTCCTGCAGATTGCACTCCACTCCCACTGGGGGTGATAAGATGTCCTTGCTTATGGTCTTCACATTTTTAAGCTTCGTAAAAATTCTAATTTAGAAAAGTCCGTACTTATACCGT